GCCGTGAAGATCTGATGATGGTTCTTGCCGATCTTGATGCGCTCCTCATCAGAGCCAGCCACGTCGACCAGCAGTACTCCAGCAGGTACAACTTTTGAAGTTTTGTCAAAGTCACAACGTACACTTTGGCTAACGTGCATTTCTGGCGCTTTTATCGTCTCTGTACAGCTGTGCAGAAAATATGTTTTTGTCGTGTGTTCATTTGTTTTTGTTTAAAACTGATGTTTATGGCTGCTGTGCGCACAGCGCGACCACCATCTCAAAAGCCCTAGAATCTAGCAGAAACGGGATTCTAAAGAGGCTCTGCATTCTGATTTCAGGAGGGCTTTGATACTGCATTTTGCACCTCCTGAACAGCCCCAGTTCAACCCCCCCCCCCTAGGTATTTTATCACTAATATAATTGACATTTAACTTATCGCATCTCAATGGCCAATTGTCTAGCAACAGTAGCGATTCAGGCCTAGATCAGGATCAAGATGAGATCGGAGAATTTCGTCGGAAATACCTCCAACCTGTACCACAATTTGTTGCAATTTATGAGCAACGTCACCGTTTTCCTCTTTACCGTTTCGACATGACCTCTATTGGGGATCTACCGAATAGGTAGACGTTACTAAAGGGTAAATGAGCAGCGGGTTAAGCAATCATTCCAGATAAACCCTTGGTGAACTGGCTAGTTCCAGCAAAGATGTTTGCCTCCAAGAAGCAACGCGGAATTTCCTTTTTCTATGCAGCAAAAGTTTCGCTCTATGAACTATTTCGCCACATGGTCTTGCTTCCGAAAAGCCTACTATAGCTTATAAGACGTCATTCACGAAAATCTGATGCAATCCTATACACAACAACAAGCACATCTGTAGAGAATATACACTATGTGCGAGTTTCCCTCATCCGTTCATGGCAAAAAATAACATTCCATAAGAAAAAGCTATTGAGAAATCGTATTTTGTGACAAGGGACGTACCACCAAACTTGTTTTTGAGAAGACAGTACTAGGACTCTCGCACGGTGGCAACACGTGGATTAGAACTTAAAGGCACGGGGCGCGATCAGAATCCCAAAAAAAACTTTCTCCCTGAGTGAGGTAGCAGAGTCCTAATCAAAAAGTAGCGGTACTGCCATGACTTCAAAATACACGACAAAGGAGTCAAAGTGCTTTTGCTTGACCCCTACGACCGCTGCCATTGTTGTCAATCGCAACATTCGTGGCGTTTGCGCCCTGTCGCTTACGACGTGCTCTATCACGTTTTTCCTCCCTCGTTGCGTTTCTCTTTTCGTCGTACCACTTCGACCTAGCAAGAAAGAATCCAGTATTCTCTATGGAGCTTTTTCTTTTTTCACTAACGTTCCTCTTCGCACCTCTTCTTGAATTTTAGGGCGAAACGACTCGTCAATTCTATCGTGACAGTTCCTTTATAACTCAGTGTGGGATTCACTCAAGTTAAATAATTGTGCTCCTTTGCAAGCAATTTCCGTGTTGGCTGAAGGATAGCTGGAATAATGATTTTTTTTTATTTTTCATCAACTGAGTCAGGCTTAGTTATAAACCTCGTTTTCGTCAGAACTGCTTTAAACAGGTGGGAGGCCGCGAGACTAATTTCTTTGGTGATCAAATGCGATGAGACTGATCCCTCCAATTGGCAATTTGCTAGCTTCTAAATGAGCTCTGCTCAGATGACACAGATTAATTATAGCAAAGAACTTCGAGACATGTAATCAATATTCGCTTTATTAAACGAAGACGTAAGCAGAAACTCATTTCAAACATTAGCAAATGAGTTTCTCTTGGTGTGTTTATTCGAGGCGAACAAATCTATTCTGAAATCGGTACATTTAGAGTAATTGAGAAATAAGTCTGACCAGATCTGGTCGTATATACGTAGATGAAATTGCCGCAGATTAAGGCGAAAATCGGATCAGAACGTCACAGAAATAATCGTGCTCTGATACAGAGCGTCGACGTAACGGCCATGTGTTAGAAAGCGTACTGGGATTAGTGAGAAGCTAGTCGATGAGTTTCAGGATGTTCTAATCTCCTCGGTCTGGATTTGATGTGCTGTATTCGATCAGATGGTGCAATAAGGCGAATATGAAGAAGTGTTTTCCAGATGATAACTCGCATCTCACGCTCATGCACGTCTTCCAATTCAAGATTCACCGAGTACTGCTCGATGAGACTCTGGGCCAAGCCAAACCATGTGCCACGGATTTTTTGCTGACTGCTGGGCAACCATGTGACTCGTTTCTTTCGACCGCCGCTCTTCCGGGCGAATACCAACAGATGTTCCTGGAAAAAGCTTCATCGCAACTTTCAAACCAGATTCCAGTAACGCATTCACATGATCGCTAGGTTTTGCAGGTTCAGTAAGTTGTGTGCTAGAATAACTACCAAGAGTCTTGAAGCAACAACCACAGATGAGGTTGCGTCGAAGAATCTAGTCTGTGGGTAAGATAGAGAACCTATGAGTACCACCTGGTGTGCAGTTGTCACGGCTCAAAAGAGCGCGACAATGGCGCTGGAGCCTTACAAAGTGAGCTAATGTGAGCCAATGGACGAGATACCTCGCGCATACCCCACGACACGCACCGTGGATTACGACGTAACGGGTAAATCAGGTAGTGGAGCCATGGAGCAAGCAAGATCAGGCAACTCGTCCGACACGCCCATTGCTCATTTCGAGAAGGAGGATGGGGAACCCTCATTCAAGGACTTCATCGACGGTTTATTTTGTTTATTTTGTCATTTTTAGTCAACTGGGCATCTACAATTTCATCATCGACCCGCTGTTACCCCATCACAGTTGATCTGGGGATGTTGCTTTGACTGAAGATCGCGCTCCCTAGCCGTGCAGCAGGTGCAGCTAGCCCCGACCAGGGGAGGGGTCTCCAAACTTTGTGTCTCTACTCCGGTCGATGGCGTAGTCTCCGTGATTATAGGGGGGATGCGTCCAGAAATGCAGTTTTGAGAACCCTTCCCCTTGCCGGGGCTTGCTGCACCCGGCCCCTGATTGTGAACTGAGTATTGCAGTTAGGTTCGTCTGTCATGATTGCCCCAAACTGTCATAAGCCATCCTCACCTTATTCTCAGTGATTTGTGCTCGTCGCTTCATGCCGTCTATCAATCCGTCAAGCATCTCTTCAAGACGTAGCGCTTCTTTCTGCACTAATTCATAGTCAGTGATTTCTTAAAAGCTACCATTAGCAAATGTACTATTCAACTTCATAGTCCAGCGCGTCCGCACGCTTCCGAGAATAAATTCACCGAAGTGTCTGATTAGTAATACTTTTCAAGGTATCATTATGCAGAGGTAATCAGAATTTACCCAATACGCGAAAAATGTTTAGAATGGAGCATCAGCACGAAACTCTCCTTTACTGGCCCTTTTTATTATAGTTGAATGGATTCTCTAATATAGTCGGACTCACTCAAATGCATCATGCGGGAAGAGCCTGTTTCCTTTTCCTGTATATGATTTGTATACAGTCAAAGAGTGCAGAGAAAAAGACAAAAAAGAATGAAATTTCAAGGAGGGTTTGCTAGTAGAAAAGGTCACAAGCTGACAGCTGCTGTAGACACAGGCGAGCCAAAAGCAGTTCAGAAAAGCGGACTACTGCTCTAACCTCAGCAGAAGAGGTCGTTTCGAAAATCTATTCCATGGGTAGGCTACAGTAGCCCGGAGTATCACAGATTTGACTCTTGCGAAAGGATGAAGGATGCGAGCTAATGGACGAGAAATCTCGCCCACACCCCATGCAAGGTGTATTACAATGTGGTGATTGATTCGAATAAGTGTGGGTTGGTGGAGTCCATGGAGCGTGCGAGTCAGACAACAACTCGTCCTATCGGCGGAATGCATAGCTTCTTTTTTCATTTTCAGTCAACTCAGCGTCCGCGATTGACCACTCTTACTCCACCCAATTGAGCCGGGATTGTTTCCTTAAATTCACGCTGGGAAGATAATCCTTTCAAATTGACTTAGCGATGATGAGTGGTACACTAAAGAAAAACCATGAGAAACGGCCCAGAACCCGAGAAATGGGACCTCCTTCTTGCCAAAATGAATTGGCACAGTGCACTCTCATCGCCTGCCCTCCCCCCCCCCCCCCCCCCCCCCCCCCCCCCCCCCCCCCCCCCCCCCCCCCCCCCCCCCCCCCCCCCCCCCCCCCCCCCCCCCCCCCCCCCCCCCCCCCCCCCCCCCCCCCCCCCCCCCCCCCCCCCCCCCCCCCCCCCCCCCCCCCCCCCCCCCCCCCCCCCCCCCCCCCCCCCCCCCCCCCCCCCCCCCCCCCCCCCCCCCCCCCCCCCCCCCCCCCCCCCCCCCCCCCCCCCCCCCCCCCCCCCCCCCCCCCCCCCCCCACCACCCCCCCCGCCTTAACCTTGATTCGAAGGGATTCAGATGATCGGTGGGCGTGCACTGGCCCACCGCGCCAAGATTGAGCCTTAATAGGTCGCCGAGGTCAACTCCTTCGGTGCCAATTGCGCTTCAGTCCGCACCCTTAGGAGGTCCGCGGGTCCCTCAACTAGGTGAATTACTCCTTCTTCGACCTTCATTCTAATCGTGAATTCGTCCTTTAAGAGTGGCATGTTTTTTTTCTTCACGGGGATATACAGAGTCGAGGGCTCAAAAGCATCCCCCCCCCTGTATTGCTCGTGAGTCGCTATCCACGTCGCTTACTCGAACCTCTAATTCAAACAGAACCGTTTTGTCCTCCACTCCAGCGTCATGATCAAGAAACGGCCTAAGAAAGCCTCAGTCCGCGCGAGAAGCGAATCCCGAAGTAAAACTCTTGGGCCTGCCAACCACCGCATGGATCCGCCTTAGATTTTGCGCCACTGATAAGCTTCTCTTTCGAAATGGCAGAGGGAAGGAAGGTACAAGACTATGTGAGGATAGCGCAGTAGTGCAGTGGTTCCCTTATACGATCAAAGCGAAAACTCTAGGATTTCCTTTTCCTAGATATACGCCAAGTTTGCTTGACTTGACCTAGACTGGAATTTACTATCAGCGTTTCAGACAGGAAAAAGAAAATTGATCTTACCTGCCTTCCTGGTCACTCCGTTGCTAGTGAGCACCAGCGCACGCTTCGAACGATTCAGCCAACTGTGACATACATGCCCGCAAAAATGCGCGTTCTTGAACAGCACATTCGCAAAGCAAACGGAAGACGTCGAGTGCATAATGCACTCATCACCTGAAAGCAATCACTGAAGTTATCATAAGGATCAGTCTTCTGAACTGCGCCGCCGTCATTTCACCCCTTAGTCAGAGCTTTGGTGCTATGTTGTAAGCACGACTGCACGACAATTGTGGAGATATGTAGAATTAGGCGCTCAAAATTAAGTGTTGCTCTGTAGAACGGCTAAGTCGATCACTAGAACGGGTTAGGTACCAATAGGACAACATGGCAGAGACTAAGCTTGAATGGAAAGCTTTGAGCCTGCACACCCCGTAGGTGTTCCGCGACATCTCAGCCTTTGTTCAATCTTTTCATCAGCAGAGTTCTAACAATTTCCCATTGCTATTAGTTCCTAAAGCTGGTACCGCTACTCGTATGGCTAAGAATGTAAAAGATAAGAAAATGTAAATAAGTAGAATAAAAAAGTACTTGGATTTTTCGTAACGAGTAAAATAAAGTGTATAAAGCTTAATGCTTTTGTATTTTGCAATTGTAAAGTTTAGAAGAATTCGAGCGCTCGCACAGGACTTGTAAATCGAAGGCATCAGCAATACGATTGAATTATGTCTATTTTTGCCGAGCATTATCTAGTTATTTCCCGAACACATGAATGAGCCAGCCACAGAATGAGCTTTCAGTTGGAATTACATGAATGTTTCATCTTTTCTGACGCCCTTTTCCATTTAGAGCCCGAACAAGTGTAGCGGGTACGCATGTGAATTTGCGATAGAAAAAGATGGATTTCTCGGCTTCCATAAGTCCCATTTACCAAGTAGGCTAGCTACTATTTTTATCCACAGCCAGAGAGACTTTGAAATGCGATGTGCACTGGTATGTGGGGGAGGGGGAGGGGCAGAGGGGCAAATATAGTATATACAAGTCGGTTTCCTTGTTTGCCCAAACAAGACTGGTACCCTAGCGACCAGGGAGAGGTGAAAAAACTTAATTGATCTGAGCCTCTGAGACGAGCCAAGACTCATTTCGGAACATAGTCAAACGTTCCTTAGACAAGGTTTAATGAAGATGTTCAGGGGGACGGGATCGCATTCGTTGATATCGAATATCTTCGAGTGACTCTTTCCACATACCTGGGTACTTCACATGTACAAGGCCGATGTCATAGTTTGCAAATCGAGCGATTCGCTAGCGAATCGAACTTTGCGCCAGCGAATCGAACGATGTACCAGCGACTCGACACTGTTTGAAAGTGGCGGGACCCAACGTTTAAAGGAAGTCCACTTTAAAGGACCACACTGTTTGAAAGTGGCGGGACTTCCTTTAACGTTGGGTTTCGTCACTTCAAACAGTGTTGAGTCGCTGGTACATAGTTCGACTCGCGCAAAGTTCGATTCGCTGGCGCAACGCTCGGATACAATAAGTCGTTAGCTATCGCTCGATTCGCGAACTATGACATCAGTCTAACTGATAATTCTATGAAAAAGGTTTTATTAACTTCTATTACGCCTGAGTGTGCCTGAAATATGGCTGGCTCCAATTGCTTGAAGCATTGTTAAAACGTCTTGTGAAATGGTATGCTGTCCCAGTGACCACGGCTGAGCGGAGATCTGCGCTGAGTAGTGATCATCACTAGCTGGTTATATCTGCTCCTCAGCAAGTATATGGGAAAGGAATACTGTGAGACCCCTTTCCCCTTCTCTCTTAGTCGACACACTACGAGGAGATGAACAGGGGTAGGTCGTGGTGGACGCGAAATTGGCCCAACACAACCGCCTAATACTGCCCCAGGTTGCGTGATAAACGACGGCGCCTTTCCCTTCGTCCAGCTAGTATTCGCGATGACAAATACGAGCCCATTATCTACGAATCTCAGCAATGAAAATTGTTATGCTACGAGACCAGAGAAACGAAAGATGCGGGAGTCGGGAGTGAATGTGCTGTACGCTCGCTTGCTTGCTTCACACCAGCACTTTCTCCGAGTGCTTACAGCTTTTCGATTTCAGAGATAGTGGCCACAAATTCCACGAATCGCCGTATAACTGGTGAATTAATGTATGCTATACCAATTGTTCCCGTCCCACGCTATACATCACTTCTTGGAACCAACGCCCCACCACTGCTGGGACACGCGCTATGAATATCATGAAATTGGCGTTTTGGCGCCTCTTATCAGATCTTATCAGTCGGTATCACTTTATAAACCCCACCAAATATGTTGCCGTCCCACCCCCTACACCATACTCAAAATACAGCGTTCCATGCCTGCAGCGAAGCGCGCTATGAATTTCGTGACAGACGGACGTACGTACAGACAGACACACACACCCACACAGACAGACATACTTAGCGAATTATATATAGTAGGATGTATGTATCATATCTAATATTTCTATAATGACGAGTGGTTACGGCTATGGCGTTGAATTGCTCTGTTTGAAAATGTAAAGCTGCAACGGCAAACAATCATCGAGGAGGGGCAGATGTCCTGTGCATGTTTACGCATGAATGATAATTCACTGCTTAATTCTGTTCTCTTCGCTTGTGCGGGATCAGTTCCCTTCAAGCTTTGAAATTTTGTTACTACGTGAAGATAGCATGAATGAAGGATTTTTTAAAGACAGCGATTACGATAAATTCGCGTTTAGTGGTGACGGTTTAGTGTTGTACGATACTCAATGATGCGCAAGTAGCGAAAAAAAGCAGAGAAATCCGGCAAGAAAACGCAAAACGGGACCACCTTTCCTGGCCGTTGGTTTTTACTCATGAACAGGTAACAGCTCAGAAAGTGGACGTATGAACGAGTTCACCGCAATGCGTTTGATGGCAGCCATGCCAAACCACGGTATAACTGTTGATGCTCTATTTGCGCTGCTGTTGGCCACGCATCTCGGTGTTTCCTATCGTCACTTCTTATTAGGCGCGTCAATTGTAGCAGAAATAAATAAATAAAATAAATAAATGCCATCTTTGTTAGCACCTTTTCGATACTAAAAGGAAGTGATTACGATATGGAGGGAGCACATCGGAGAAGCATGTGCACCACAGAAATCAGTTACTCGGATGCCATGGAAGCAAAGTGTGGGAGTGTGTGTTATTTGGTCAAGTTATTCTAACATCTAAGTGAAACTATCAGTTTTTAATTCTTATCACATGGCAATACAAATGCGTTAAGGGAAGTAAAGAATGATCAGCGCTGTCTGGGGCTCTTGGTAATCTTACTTGAAAAAGAAATCTTAGATAGAGCTAACCTTGAGTTTTTCTTTCATCTTTTCGTTGTGCAGATTGCGATGCCAATACGTTGAGAGGCAGATGAAGCAGCAGCCGCCGTGCTGGCTGCTCATCCGGTAGCGTTGTGGACGACGTTGCTTCGATTCTTCAGACAGGACAGGAGCTAATCCGAAAGGCTCAGCTGCTAGTCGTGCCACAGCCGCTAGCGCTCCTCCCACCACCATTACCTGTTATATCCTATCTCGAGCAAAGCTTTAATCGAGTGGAACGAAAACCACTTCAGCTGAATTATTATTGAGCAGTCTTCTCGGAAGGCAGGAAAGCCAGTCATACAATTAGGTTATCTGAAATTACGGTCAAAAAACACCAGCATAAAAGTTAATCTTCGTATCCAAGGTGACATTATTTAGAGCGTTCCAGTCGTTGTAAGTGGCGCTGTTGTTCCACGGAGCCCAATAAATTGGTTTTCAAGGTAATCAAAAGATACACGTGGTGCAAAACTTAGAAACGCAGCATTCCATTATTGGATACATTTAATTTTTACCCCTGAATCACCCTCCTGCGAATTATGCACGTCTTATCCTCTACCAGATTCCTACTGGTGACAGGATCGTCTCCTTTATGAGCCTGGAACATAGTAGTTCTCGAAGTGAACATCAATTACACCAAAACTCATTACTTTCGCAAGAAAGCATAATCAAAATTCCTTCACAATTTCATTAGCATATTGAATGCATGAACACCCTTCGAGGGCAGAGCAACTTATACTTACCTTTTTCGTACCGTACGAAATTTCTGAAAGTGTCATCTGGAACATTATGGTGTATAAAATCGCTGCGATCAAT